CCTGCTGGTATCTTCTCAGAAGTTCATGTTCAGATGGAGTGAAAGGGTAAAGCAATGGCCCAACCCAGATGAGTGTAGGATGCATTGAAGTGTTAGAGAACTAGAAATAAAGGGCAGGGAGAATTGGAGGGCAGTCAGATGCTGAAGCTTGGTTTCCCAAGTGCGAGCACAACTTCTTCAGCTGGTAACCTAAGCTAACATGAATTTTGGCAGCAGGCATAGGGCTATCTTACAACAGGAGGAAATGGGATCAGTTTCTGAACAGTCTCTCTAACATATTAGACACAACAGGCTTTTCCTTAATGTTAGTCAGAACCAGTGGGGTTTTTACATCGACTCATTTATCGTGGCTGGTTAAAGGAAATTCCCAACCTGCATTTCAGCCTTAGGCTTGCCTGCATGTCTCATAACCCACTGGAGAACACTGACTTATGAAGTCCACAAAAACAGCACTGACTGTTCCAGCTCTTCTTCCAACACCCCAGACAGTGAATAGTAGATGTTTTCTAAGATATAGTTTGACCTTGCAGCTCCTGCCCCTTTTTCACCTTTTTCTTCCCTTCTCTCCTCTCTGCCCCCTCTTTCCTTTCCCTAGCCCTATCTCATGCTGTTGCTTTTTCCATGTCCATCATCTGTCTGGCTCGAGAAAGACTTCTCTGCAATTAGGGAGAAGAGGTTATCCTGGGATTCAAATATTGCTTCTCTAATGTTGGCAAGTCTCACTCACTAGGTAGATGGTGTTCTAGGGCAATTCGGTGTGTTTTCTGTACTGTGTGTGATGCTTGGACTACCGGTGGTGTCGTTAATGGAGAATGTGAAACCATTCAAGGGCACTAAAAGAAAGAAAATGGCATCAGAGCTCATCTGCAAGTATTTTGTTATGATTTGGATAACTGTCTGCCTTTAGGAATAGAGACAGACTCTGATTACCTGATACAAAGGTTAGGCTCCTGCTTATGAGAAGAGCAATGATGATGATAAAAGCTTTTCTCTTAATGTTTACCACTTTCCTTTTGGATTTTTCCTTGTGCGATCCCCAGGTGCACGGCATCGTTCGTCGGTCTAGTTCTTTTAATACAGGCCGGATTGAACATCTCTATAAGAATCCACAGGCTCACATTGAAGGAAGTAAGACTTTGTTTTTATATTTAAGGGTTGTGGTTTGTTGTTTGTTTTTTTTTGTCTATGGTGCGTTTGTTGGAGAAAGGTTCCCAGGAGCAGGAAAGGAATCCCGGTTTCCTCTACCTAAGTATTATTAATGAGTAGTTATTTTTAAGCTGTGTTTGACTTTGGATTGATTTAAAACAAAGAAACAAAGAACCTTGATAGCTAAGCTTCCTTTTTCTCTGCCTGTGTTCATTAGCTGCTATATATCAGAAGTGATGATTTTTCTCTGATGAAGGTGTGACACAAAGTATAGAAATGCTGACACAGGCAGTAGTAATTAAAAAATTACTGGGCCTGCAAAAAAGCCATGAGATGATGAAAACACTGAGATATCAGGATAGTAAAATGTTTTCTTCTTGAGGCAGTTATGTTAAACACTCCACTTCTGTTTCCTCATGAGCTTCTTAGTGTATTATGGAGGTGAAGGTTTGGGCACAGCCTATATGACAACATGAATAGGACATGATCAGTTCTTACTGATAACAGGAAGAATTAATCTTTGGACCTTCTGAATTTCTGCGTCCAAGGAAACTATTATCTGTTTTTTCCTGAAGCAAAGGCATTGCTCTTGGAAATTTGCTGAGAATTGACTATATTCTCTTACCCAATATAATTTGGAAAGCCGAAATTATTGCCTTTAGTGTAGACTTTGCAAAAATTGTTTGAGTATTTTACATTATAGAAGATTCACTGGTCACTTAATGAGAAGAAGCTCAAAAGCTGGGTGGCTCCAGTTCAGCAGATGGATTGAGCATTTAACAAACATATAATTCTCAAAGCTGTGCGTATTTTGTAGAGTTATGCAGTGTGATGCTGTCCTAAATAGTCTGATTTCAGATATTGTTAACACTTACTATCTTCATGCCTGAAACAAATGTTCATGTCTTTTTAAGTCTGCTTCCCACCATGGTTAAACAGAGCCTAATTGCATTAAGTTGAAATATATAATGCAACTTTTGCATTTCACTTGGTCTTTGCTTGTAATTTGAAGAAAATATTTTCTTTCTGACAGTCATGTCATGTTCCGTGGCATTTGCTGTGAATAGTTGCTACTTACTGTATGTTGTTCCTAAGCATACCTGATTGAGAGAGGAGTAAAATGGAATAAAATATCTTAATGAAAAATACTGAAACCTGTGCTTCTGTCAAGGACAATTTAAGAACTCTGTTTCCCATGACTTATATTTATAGCTCATAAAATGAAGAAAAAGAAATCAAACAGGAACCTGTGCATTGTCAGGACCATCCCGTGAATAAGAAAAGTGATTTGAGAAGACAGTATAGATCATGATAAATATGTATATGAACATTTAAGGAAAGGGATGGAAGAAAGGAAAAAGAAAGCAGGCCTGAAATGTTTTTGCCCACTTATCTCATTTTCCTTTAACTGAGGAATGCAGCCATATGAATGGAAGGAGGAGGAGGAATTGGACTTGGAATCTCAGGAAAGGCTGCTCCGTGGAAACTGTTTGGAAACAATGGGTTTCCAGGCAGTACTGGAGGAAGCTAAGGGGTGCAGTAGTGGTTGATGTGAGCAAACCTTAATTTTGTCTTTGCCCTATATGTTCTTCCCACGAGGAACTGATTTGCATGTTGCAAGATGATGCTCTTCATAAACAGCTAATATTTTTATACCCAAAAAAACCCCTAAACAAGCCAAAAAAACCACCAAAAATGCCCCACAATAGTAGGGAGAACAAGGAGGAAAACAAGGTGTTTCCTGAAGCCAGCTCTCCAGTTATTGCTTTCTACGGAGGTTTTCAGATTGGATAATATTACTAAAATCCAAAGGTTTTGACTTTTGGTCTGTTTTTATAAATCTTTACACCAAATAAACCCCATTTCTAGGAAGCCTTTCCACTTAGGCTATGACTTTCGAAATACCTCTTTTTCATAGGTCAGAAAACTAACAAAGCCTTATGTCCTGCTCCCTTTCAAAAAAAGCTATGTGGACAAGCAGACCTGAAGACTTGAAAAAAATGGGCATTTCCCTTTGAGAATACCCTTTAAAATTAAGGTAATTGTGGCAGGTTATCTCTGATCCTCGGCTCGACACAGCTGGCAGCCCATCTTTTCCTGGGAAGCTCTGAGACTGTTCTCTCACCTGTGGGTGGTGGCAGAATTGGAGGTCTTTGGTGTAGGAAGAAGGAGCCAGGCTGTGGCATCTCTTTTCTGCTCAGCTGATGCTTAGGCTGGAGAGGAACCTGTTATTCTTTTAGACCCTTAAGGCTCTCACAGAGTTCCTGCAGCTCCCTGGGCCTCCTTCTGTAACAGTGTCCTCTGTTCCATCCCCTCCAAAGGGCTGGTTCCACTGACAAGGAGATTTTGTTTAAATCCCAGCTGAGGTAAGCTGAGGAAGGAGAGAGCTCGCTGGTGCCTAGGGGAAGCTTTCATTTCTGGTACAGAAGCATTGGGCTTCTTCCCTGCTCCCAGCAGCCCAAAGTTTTCCTGAAAAAGGTGGTAACTGCCATCAGAGAAGTTGTTTAGGTGGTGCTTGCTCTTGGTCTCTACTTAGTGTTGCAAGAAAGATGCAGTAGTTGTTAAGGTGGTCTGGACACCAGCAGTTTTGATGATTGTGGGTTAACTCCAACATCCAAATAGTTTTATCCTATAGCCATTTGGGATGTTGTGTGTGCTGTGGGCCACAGGCAGAATGTATTTCATGTATTGAATTTAATTTGGGAAGCAGGACAGTTGCCTTCCATACAAGTATTGTTGCTCCAGCCTGTATAAAACTGGTGGCAGGAATGAAGGCACCATGGATAATTGATGTGTGTGCACAAAAAGGGTCATAAACTGCTTGCCAGCCCTCATATTTAATCACAGTTCTCTTTAAAAAAACCTAAACACCATAGTTGCAATAATATTCCCTGGCCTATTAGTCACAAATTCAACTGGGTCTTGAAGTCTGTCCTTTTCAAGCAAGCAGATGGTAAAATGATTTCAAGAATTTACTGCAACCTGATGGACTGTATCACTTTATCAACCTGAGCAACCTAAAGTACCTGTCAGATAAGAGTATACAAAGATTAACACCTGATAACTGCATGATCTGTTACTTCCTTGCTGCCTTAAACAATCAAAAAAACATCAGAACAAGCAAACCCCAAAAAACCAAACCATAAAAAACCCTGAATCATCTTAAATAAAACCATATTTTTGCATATCTTTACAGCATTTAAAAAAATGTCCTGTGGGTTCATGTGGTAGTCTCCTGTAAGAAACCTAGTATTTCTTGGTTTCAAGATTACAAAAACAATCAACTTGATTATTTATTTTTTTTTCATCTGTAGATGATAGAACCTTAAAGTGGTGAGCCTTGTCAACTGGGAAGACTACTAAACCATACTCAAATAGGAATTTCTTCTTTTTCCTGGAAACAGGGCAACATAAGCATAAATTTATCAAGGTCAAAAACATCAAATGAAAATCTATATAAATATGGCAAATAAATGTAAACAACTAATTCATCAGTAGTGTTAAGGTTTTTATTTGTGTTGAATAGATCTGTGAATAGCAGCATGGTGGTGTGATTATTATTTTTTTAATAAGAGGAAAATGAGACCTGTTTTATCAGAATGAATTTCACTTTTGGAATTATTTCAGGGTCTGAAACCAAGGACAAGTTGATAAGCCACTGCTCTTTAAATGTTGACAGGAGCTGGTCTCATGATCTTACCTACTTTTTCCCCACACAAATTAAAAAGTAACCCAGTCAGGGAAGGATAAATAACAGCTGTGTGACTGACTTCAGCCACAATTGAGTTTTTGGTCTGTAATGTCATGAAGCATGTTTCATTGACAATTACCATGTTCTCTGAAATTCCTTTCCAGTGTATATCTGTATTTTTTTAATGGAAAAACAGTAGTAATAAATGTAGTGGGTTGTATTTTAGTGTTACCTCAGTGTTCATCTTGTAGGTACCTTAGGCTTTTTTATTGTGTTGTGAAATTATTGGTAACGAGGACTCTAAACAAGAACAACATTCTGAAAAAGAAGGGAAAACCTATTGATTTAAGCTTAAGAAGTTATTAAAAACCTTTGTGAGTGAGAGATTTGAAGCCTAACTTAAAATAATGTGGGTTTTTTTGTGACTGAAATTCTGTATATAACATTGGTCTAGTTTATACAATCTGGGTTCACAAAGTGTAAACTATTAAACAGATTACATTCATGTTGCTAGGTAAATCAGATTATTGAAAAGATAATCTGAAATGGTATTCATTACTCCTGCAGGGAAATACATTTTTTTCACTTAAAGCAGGGGAAAAAAGCCAAGGAGAACCCTGTTCAGCCAGGGATCTCTTAACTTCTTCCAATGAATGTTTACTTGGATTTTAAATGTGTAATAGGATTAGAACCAGAAATGCCATATTGTTCTAGGACTGTATTAACTCTGTGTTCTTAAACTCTGAAGACATGAAGCTGCACTATGGTGATCTCACAGACAGCACCTGCCTGGTGAAGATCATTAATGAAGTCAAACCCAGTGAGATATACAACCTGGGAGCTCAGAGCCACGTCAAGGTGAGTAGCTTCTAGCACTGAGGTTTGTGAATGTGCGCTGCTGGTGGCATGCTGCTTTGATTATTTTAGACTGCATCATTTATAGACATTTTAACAATTGCTAACTTTGACAGGTAAACTCTGCCTTAAATCAAGATCGTTGTGTTTGCGGTGCTAAATTACTGCACGAGTGTCACTTCTGAATATATATTAAAACACTACAATAAGTGAGGTTAAATTATAAAAAAAACCCACAGGTTTAGAAATCTGACTTTTCTACCATGTGAAACTACTTTTGCTGTAGAGTTGGCTGGTGATCAGTCCTAGGGGAGAAGTTATGCAGGGTTGTTAGGCCAAACAGTGCTTAAAATCATATTCTGTTTGCATTATAACCAACGGGTGCATCTGAGCGTGTCATTTCCAGAAAGGCTTTGCCTATACAACTTTTTATGGAGGTTGTATTATTTGAAAAATGGACCTAAAAATACAGAAAACAGCTTTGCGACTACCTATGCTATTATAACATTTCTGGTTTTTTGGTTGGAAAAAAACTGAAGCAAAAAATACTTGTTGGAGGTAACTTGGCCCTGGCAAGTACTGCTACATCATAAGGGAAGAAGATGCAAAGTAAAGTGGAAAACTTTGATTTACATGTGTTATGTTACGTTGCTCTATCATGGAAAAGCTCAGTTTACTAACAGGTGAACTGTTTACTTGTGAAACCCTCATTCATACTTCCCTAAATGATTACCGACTGAAACTGATGACCCAATTGTCATTAACATAAATTGTGCATCAGGAATAGACACTGTCCTTGTTTTATACCATGAGACAGTGTTCTTAAGTGATGTTATATTCCCTGTCCTAAGGTGAGAACTGAAGGAGCATTCAACCTTCATGAATGTCAGGCTTGCTGCAAAAAGCAATGTGTTGCTTCTCTCAGTCCTTAAGCCTTGAAACACAGCAAGAGGAAATGATGTCAAAAGACAAACAGCAGAACATAGAGATGAAAGTTATTTTCTTTGAAATTGCTTTCTGTGATTGAATGATCCAGTTTGCTCTGTGCTAATCATGAGTCTAGTTGGGTTTATTAGCTCAGGTACAGCAGTTCAAAAACAAGGCCACATCAGTCGAAGGGCAACTTTGGCCCAGAAGGCAGTTTAACCACTGCTTTGCAGAGTGAAACCTGAGCCAGCAGAACTTGCTGGGCATTTGCAGTCCACAGCTAGATGTTCCAGCATGTCGTTTCTTGAACTAGTGTATTGGACAACAATCTGCATGGAAATTACTTCTGTCCTTTAAGTGGTATTGGCATGGTACTAACATTTTAGTCCCAGTCTGTCTCCAGGTGGCTGCTGCATCTGCCAACAGCTCAAGTCACAGCACTGAGGAGGCATGAAAGCAAGGGTGTGGGTGGTGATGCTGCTCTGCATTTGTGTGTGACGCTGCTGTGGGCTCTGGGAAAGTTTATTCCTCAGGTATTCACTCCATTAATGTTTTGAACCTATGCAGATCTGGCACTGAGTCTTGGAGATCTAATGTGCCTTGGAGCACAATGAGGAAACATCAAAATGTCTCTCTTAGAAGCTAGACTGAATGCAGCAGGCCGATACTTAGACAACGTTACAAGTCCTCCTGGAGTTCTAGATGGACTTCTTCAGAGTGTCCTTGTTATGCTTCCTAGCATCTGCTGTTGTACTTCTGTTGTCACAGTTGAGAGAACCTAGGCACCTCAAGTCGATGGAGGTGATTGGTGGACTTCACTATGGTACTAATAGGACTTTAAAGGAGTCCAACAGTGATTACCATTTTAAAGCAATTCCCAGTGTTACAAGAGGGAGTAGAACTTGGGCAGCTGTTAAAGGTGAATGTTTTCACCAGAGACTTGAACAGCTCTTACTAAACTCTGGTTATGTAAACTTACTGGTTTTGCCTGTGTGCATCATGTTTGGGGAAGGAGGGAGAGAGACTTCTAATCTTAGCTTGCTTTGCATTCTGGTGACTTTGAACCAGTGACATCTTCAGTATTTTTAGTGGTGTTTATGTTGGCTGTATTTATGCAGAATAAAGTTTTCTATCACTGTCACTTCCAGTTAGTTTGTGAGCCATGCTGAAGTGAAAGAAAATAAAATAATAGGAAGTTGGTCTGGTTTCCTGTAGGAAACCAATGAAGATGAAATTTGTTCTTGGACTGAACCCACAGTAGTCTGGGAAATACTGTCAGAGAAGACGTTTTTTCTGAATCATAAATAGTGAGAACTATGACTCAAAGTAGGTCACTGGGAGGCTGATCTGATGTTGTACATGGAAGAAAGTGAGAGAAGACTGAAAGTTGCTTCTTGTTAAAAACAGTATATTTAACAGATGATATCATCAGTAGGAACAAATTATCCAGTGTGCATTCCTGTCTGTTTTGGTGAGAAATGGGGATTAGTTCTCCATACTGTAGCTTCTCCATTGGATGTTCAGAAAACAGTAGCACATTCACTTCATGGTTACTAAGTAAACAGCTTAGCCTCATGTTTTCTATCCAGTCTTTATATGTCCTCCTGCTTTGGCTTTAGGTGCTTTGGGAATCCAGAATACTGACCATGATTTATTTTTCCATTTAATTAGGTTTCATGATAGTGATTGTTTACAGTATATTGATTCTAAAAAATAATCTGTTATTGTGTATAGGTAGAATACAGATAGCTTAACCTAAATTCTATCATTTGTAACTCTATATTCATATGCCTCTGTCAGCTGAATGTCTTGAAAATCAACTATCCAAAAGCTAGGTTGGCTAAAATGATGTTTCTCTTCTTGCACACTGTCCTAGTAGATGCACATACAAAGACAGAGAAGAACGTGTATATATATATTTTTTTTTTCTGAGGTGCAAGTGATCTCATCAGTATTTGCCTGTGCAGTAAGATTATTTTCTTTGAGTTGTATTGAACTGGTGAAGCTTGTAAATGTTTTCAACAAATTTCTGAATCAAAAAGGCAATATAAACTTACTAAAACATCTCTTGCTTTCAGCACTTGAAACTTGCTGGACTGAGCAGTTAAACATGGGACTGAAGAAATGGCTCAAGTTTTATTGCTGCTGCTATCCCAGTAGTCATGTATTAAACAGCCTAATCCAATCTGGCTGCAGTGCAGATAGCCACAGTTGCTTGGTTACTTCTTTAAATTATATTGGGTAGTAGGAGGTTATTTTGCCTACTTAATGTTGGTATTTGTGCCAGAAATTCTATAGAGAATGTTTTTTATGAGATAGGAAAAGAATGGTTACACTTTTCTGTGATAGGTGTTCCTCATCTATGGAATGTGAACATATTATTCAAGAGTAAAATCTTGAGTGTAACTACAGTTTTAAAAGCCAGTAAATGCTGGGTCTGATATTTTTTTTTTCACCTTATAAGATGCATACAGGATTTATTTTTTTATTTTATTTAAGGGATATTAAGATTCCATTTAGTTTTAAGTCCCTGTGGACAAATGAGTGCTTGAAGTCAGGCAGTAATTAAGAAGCAAACACTACTGCAGTTAGCTGAAAGTGGAAATGTAAAAAGCAAGGGGCTTTTAGCATATGAACTCTCATTTGAGTAAGGTTCTCTATGCTTGGATATTGAATTTAGCTATTTCTCTAGCTGCTTCATTTTTTTCTCTATATTTTTGTGCTCTCCAATGACAAGGCCTTCAGTCTTGGGAGACCTTGAAGCCTCCTTTTTCCCCATGCTGGCAAAATTAAAGAACTTACTAATTTCTGATTATTTTGTTTTATCTGCATCAAATACTGACCCCTGATTTATGTGAACCAAAGATGTTATGAACTACTGATTTCAGTGCTATGCCTGTTAATGTGACTGTGCCTGTTTTCATGGTGCACAGGGGATGGAGTGGCAGCAGGAAAGATGAAGAAACAAAAAAACAAGGCAGAAAGGTCTTTGGAGGCCATGGACGAAAATTCCAATTTATGTCAAAACCTAAGCTCATCTGTGACTGCTGCATTCCGAAGTTATAGCTTGCATGCAGGGTGTTTGGAAAGTGGAACTGCTGCAGGGAGGATAAACTTGAAGTATGCAAGCGAAAGTTTACATCATATAATTTTACAGAATCATAGAATGGTTGAAGGTTGGAGGGACCTCTGGGGGCTATCTAGTCCAACCCCCTTACTCAAAGTAGGGTCAGCTAGAATAGGTTTCAAAGCACCTTTTCCAGTCAAGTTTTAAGTAGGATGGAGACTCCCTGAGCAATCTGCTCCCTCACCTGTAGATTTACGTCACCCTTGCAGTAAAAAAGCAACACCCACCTCCACAAACTTTTCCATATTTTTAAAACGCATCCCACCAGGTTTCATGGTTCAGTTTATGTGATTCCCTGAACATCTTCTACCGAAGTTTTCGTTGCTCCAGACTTCCTTCTGGGTCTCAGAGACATGTGATTTTGTAATGTCAGCCTTACTAGTGAAAACAGAGGTAAAGAGAAGGTGCGATCCCTCAGCCTTTTCAGTGTCCCTTGTCACCAGGTTGCCTGCCCTCTTTAGCAGCACCACCACATTTTCACTGATTCTTTTTGCTACTGATAGACCTGTAGAAGCCCTTCTTGCTGCCTTTTGTGTCCCTCATCATGTTCAAATCCAGATGGGCTTTGGTATTCTTACCTCCATACCTGCCTGCTTGAACATTCTCTTTTTATTCTTCCTCAGTTGTCTGTCAATGCTTCCACCTCTTCTGCACTTCCCTTTTATGCTTGGATCAGGAGTTTCTTGTTCATCACACAGGCCTTCTGCCACTTTTGCTTTATTTCATAGTCGTCAGGATGGACCATTCTTAAGCTTAGAGGAGGAGATATTTGAAAATAAGCCAGCTCTTGTGGACTTCTCTCCAGAGCTGTATTGCATGGTACTCAACAAAGCAGATCCCTGAACAGGCACAATTCTGCTTTCTTGAGCTCCAGGATTGTGATCTTGCTTTTTTTTGTCTTGCTTTGTTTTCTCAAGATTCTGAAGTCTGCCATCTCATGACCACTGCA